AGCAAAGCATTATGGCTTGTAAGGGTTCCAAGGGCAGGCCATGCAAAAATTTAGTTTACTCAAACAGCAGATGCAACGTCTTTAGGTTGGGTAGAACTACGGGTTGAGGTGTGTCCAATGAAAACTGTTGCCAGTGCTCGGGGACAGCCTTGCCAACGGTTTTCCAGAAGGTGCATACGGATTGTTTCTACACCTCGTCTCATATTAAATGTAGTGCTACATTTTGGACTGAAATGCTCCTAGATGCAGTAAAAATGAGTTAAGAGTGCACACTTGCTTTTTGGCACTAAGCATTCAGCCTATAGTGTCACCCTATCGTTTGTGCATAAGCAGGACATCGGGCTTGAGTGCAATGAATTACTCATCAATATGCTTTATTAATGCATTAATGTTGTCTCCTTTCCATCCTCCAGGAAGGGCTGGGGTGGGAACTTTGAAGATCTTGCGCACCCAAGATTGGCTTACGACGACCGGCTGATATCTTGGTACCATGGGAGGCTACGGTGGTGGCTGAACCCCCTAGGTCGAAAGCTTTGCCGTCTCCGGCGGAAGCTCTTCCCTAAGTGGTTGCGGTGTCGAGGGATGATGTAAGCATATCTTGCAATATATGCAGGCCATACAATCATTGTAGTGAGATGGGATGTGGACAACTGCAGACGTGACTTACAATTTGTGTCAGGGCCTAGTTAGGCTATCAAAGCTGCACTATATTTAGAAATATTTTAAGAGTGCAGCTTTTTTACAGCCCAGTTCTTCAGTACGCGTTGTGATAGGAGCAGTGCACTGTACACATACCTGCAGACATGCATGGAGCTCGGGCTGAGTTGCACTGCACACATTGGCGGGCGGGCGGGCTGTCCCCGGAAAGGCACATGATTAAGCCTGGCTGGATGCCTGTGGTGCAGGTGGCCACTGGGATTGAGCCAGCACCATGCTCTAGGGTAGGAGGTTTTCTTGTCTTGCAGCCCTTGGTGCCTGCGACCCAGCACGTGAACCAACGTGCCCCACTCATGGTGCACCGACAATGCCGGGAATATCCTTAAAGCCACGATAGTCAGCCCCAGCGGTGAGGACACTCTTAGAATGGACCCACTTCACATCTTCTTGGAGTTATCTCAACCTTTGTACTTCGCACATCACTTTACACTTGCTTCGTATTACGCTTCAGGGCACATTTCGGATTGTACTTCACAGACCGTTACTATGTACGATTTGAGGTGTCAGGTAAAGCACTTGGTAGAGAAAACCAAGTACTTATCCACACATACAAGCGCTTGTGTATCCTACCATCAGAACTACTACTCGTCATATGGACAGTGTCCGTACACAACCTTCCGTGTATCAGACCGTTCGTTCGTCCGCCATGCGTGGGAGAAGTTTGCTACTGAGCGGGGCTGCACACGGTCAAAGTTTCCTATCTTCTTAAGAAGTTTAAAAAAAATTTTAACTCCCCCCGCTGGTTTAGCCGTATGCAGTGCGTTATGACTCTTGGCCTGAACGCCCACGTTCTCCTCTTGTTCCTTAACAAGTACAAAAAGAACTGGCCGCCGCAAGGGCGAGCAGTTCACAAGCAGCTAAGCAATGTGTACTTGCTGGCTAAGTGTTTACCCTGCGTGACCTGCTAGGCCCCTGTGAGCAGTTGAGCAAGGCCTTCCAAGCCGATAGCTTGAATGCTCACGAAATCCACGATGCGCTTTCGGACACCGAGGACAGCTTACTCGAGGCATGTCTTGAGGTCTTCATCTTTTTTTGTTCTTTACAGAGTGGGAGGCTTCTGGGTCATTTGAACACATTGCCATTTCTACGATATATCATACCCGGTCTTCATCTGGTCGTTTAAAGGGCAAGCACTATGCCGGCGTTAAGAGTGGTCTGCAAGGGCGATTCTGGGTTGTTGGTTCTAACCGTGTGAAGGTTTCCGGCACGCTGGATGAGGGAAAGCTACAGTATTTTGCTTGTCAGTTTGTGGGTTTAACTTTGAAGCATTTGGATGCACGTTTTGGAGACACTGAGCTTCTGAAGTGCTTTCGTATTTTTGATCCTGCTACATATGTGAGGATGTCTGAGGAAGAGCGGCGTGGCTATGGCCGTAAGGAGTTCGTGAAGTTGCTAGCACACTTTTGCCACTCGGCAAGCTCTAACCGCCTGTTTGCCTTCGATGTCAGCGAACTTGACGTTTTGCAGAAAGAGTTTTCAGTTATGAGGTCTAAGATGGCCTTGCAGTTGGAGCTGGGCCGCACCACCTGGGCGCGGGCCTGGGCTGGAATGCATCAGTGTGAGTCCACTTTTTTCCACTCTTGATTCAGTTGGTGTACGTCGCTTGCATCCTGCCCACCCACCAACAGCGTGTGTTGAGCGTGGCTTTAGTATCCACCGCATTATCAAGAACAGGCGGAACAGGCTGCGTAACCGGCTGTCTGTCCCGTCCATTGATTCCCTTCTGCGTGTTGGATTACTCGGTCCAACCGTGGATATGAAATGCAAACCCCTTGTGATTAAAGCTGCTGAGGAGTATGTTGCAAAGAACCCGGATGGGCTCCTGCACCGTATTGCCAAGGTGGGCGACTGTGTTCTGCCTGATGAGAGAGATGATGAGGGCAGTGTGGGCAGTGAAATTGCTGAGGCTTACTACCCAGCTGATAACGAGGAGGTCGAGAGTGTGGCAGGTGATGAGGTGTACCCGTCTGAGGAGACGGACGATGATGATGTGGCAGGTATGGTGGAGGCGATTGCTGCAGAGGTGGATGAGGAGCGGCGCCTCCTTAGTTTTGGGAAAAATCCTTGCCTAAACGATTGCTCCCAGGCGTCATGTTCCAAAATAAAGTCAAAGACCTCTTAATCAGCTAGGATGCTTCAGGCGTCCTAGCATATTACGGTAGAATCCAGCTAAATTTTACCCCCAAAAACCGCTTCAGGTTGCCAAAAAAACTGTCAGAGCCGACAGGAAAACTTTCGGGGAGGACCCCGATAGGTTAATCAGAAGGTTTCGGGCGCGACCAAATTTCTTGGGTACCCTGGTGAAGAACCCTGATGGACACCAAAGAAAACACAAAATGGTCTCCCAAGATCGTCAGAAGTTAGTTCCCATTGCAAGGGAAGACGATTATATTTTCACAGAAGTGCCTGCCACACAAAGAAGTGTCTGCCACACAACGCGTGATGTTATCACACCAAAAGCAAATTCCCACCTGCACTCAGAAGCACATCTAGACCCGCCCACACTTCAATGATCGAGTGTCGACCCCCTGCTGCGGCTCTGCATCTCCTTGGCCCCTACTGCCCTGCCTTCACGACCTCTGCTGCCACTCCGCCCGCCTGCGGAATTACCAACACCCCGGGTGCTCCCACATCTACGGCTGTATCCTTCCCTCTGCATGCACCGCCTACATGTGAACCGGAGGTGGCCTTTACTTGTATTTAAAGCAGCTCTCATACAAACGATATGCAGGTACGACTGCCGAATAAAAACTCCGTACAACTCCAAAATGCTAAGGCCACGGCCGGCCGCGCAAAGGCCAGCTCTCAAAAAAATGTGGCAACAAAAACAAAAAGAAAGACAATTAATAAAAAAGAAAGACAATTAATAAAGGAGAAAGACGATTAATAAAAAAAGATAAACACCAACATAAACATGCTTCGCGGCAATGCGGGAAGAAAGCGGCAATGTTAAACAAGGAAACTTTCAATGGAGAATAGAATATTCGCTTGCTTGGCGTGCTGAGAGCAGCCTTCATAAGCAGCGGGCATGAGCAAAGTACACCGCATTGCCGGCAAGGGTGGTGCTGGCCTTCATCCGACCCGAGAGGAGCGCTGGTTTCCTTGAATAATCACCAAGCGGCATTAAACCTGGGCACATGCAGCTTCGGTCGGCGCGGCAGGCCGATGATAGCAGTGCGCTGTTATGAAGACGCGCAACGGTTGCTGGCGCGTCAGGTGTGTTTCGCAGCGCCCTCGTGCAGCGTGCGTTGCACGCCTGAAAGGAAAGACTGGTATCAAAAGCTTGCAGTCACCACAGCCGCCCGCTTGTTTTGGTGCCTAAAGACCTGCCTACATCCCTACAACCCTACAGTGCACCAAGGTTCTACAAACTTTGTGTCGTCCACAGTGCCGGGTCGCCAAACATTTTCCCCTCTTCAATAAACGGTTGTGATGTGCGTCCAGCTGCCTGAACAAGCTGTCCATATCCCCACTGCCACCCACCCACATAACACTTCCACATACGCACACATGCTGGTGCCGCCTTTCCTTCAGACTGCGGTGCACACTACCATTCTCCGTCGTGCACGTTATGCACGGCAAGCCACTTTCGCCACCGTACGGCAGCAGCTGGGCACGGTCATTGCGGTCACCCTACAATGAACCGCAATGACCGCGGCCAGCTGCTTCACCAGAAACCCTCGATGATTGTGGTTTACAGTAGAAGGACATTCATCATTGGCGTGCAACCGTTTCATAAGCCTATTTGTTGGCACATGACCTAGCGCTGTTAATTATTGCTTTAAGTCTGATCTACCATAATATTATATTTTATAACTCAGATTTTGTCATCCGACCTTAGCTCAGCTGGAAGAGCGAAGGACTGTAATGGTACCGTTCTCTGAAATCCTTAGGTCGCCTGTTCGATCCAGGCAGGTCGGAAATCAGTTGTTTTGATCAAGGTATATCTATCCTCGGCCTGAGGCCACAAGGAACTGAGGGAGAATCCTTGTTTGGCCAGAATATGTTCAAACGTAACGGAGGTTTCGTCGTAGAATATGCCGCTTTCCTACGGGTCGGCACATCTCCGGACGCGGCATCAGACGCGGCACCAAAATTCGTCCATACCGATAGATACGCTGAGTTGCATTTGTACAGCTTTATGTACCACATTAAGAGCTGTGGTGTTTCTATGGCAACCCAAGGTCAGCGAACCATGCAAAATTGTGCCTTTGTCCAAGCCAAGGTTTAGGCAACTGACAATCCTGAACCCTAACGAAGTTTGCGAGCATCTGCTATTTTTTGAGTTGCACAGTTACGACCCCTGTCATCATCTAAGCCGAAGGTCTGCAAATCTCGGTGTCTATTTCCAGAAACCGTAATGGCCCTTTAGGAGAGAAGTTATTCGTTTATTTGCATGGAAAGTTGTAAGCAGTCACGTTGACCTAAAGGAAATCCAGATCCAGACAGCCCACATTCCTGATTGGCACTAATTGTGAAATCACCTGACAACAAGAACGCAACGAGGTCAACAGCTGCCCCGCCGCCGGAATTATCAATGGCGACTTTAACTAACGAACCAAGCTTAAACCACAAGCGTTAAATACCTAACAGGGATTTTTACTTACGCGACGAGGATTCACAACACAGGACTTTTACTGCACATCTATGCAATACAACGCGGCGCCTCTATGCTCCATACCGGAGTCGCCGCGATAAGCGTCCGTGCCAGGGCGGAAGCTGGGTGAAGGCACGACTGCTTGACAACTGACGCGCCCTTACAAATCGTTTGCTGGCGAACAGCCCTTTAACCGACCTGCTTTTGCAGCCTGACGCCGCGAGTTTTCGGCTGCCAAAGAAGCCACAGAAGTTTAATGGAAATACCCCCTCTCCAGAACGAGCCATCACGACCAATGACACGACCAATGACAGACACCATAGGGGCTGCCTCTAAAGGCACCAGCCGTCCTCCATGGCACATGTCATCAACGCTTTTCCTCGTTGCCTCCTCTCAGCGCCTTTTACCAAGCCGAGCTTCCAATGCCGGCATAATAAGGACGTTCAACAAGCACGAGCCCCCTGACTGTGAAACCGCGTGTTTCGGCTTCAACCAGCTAAGAGCGTGTTCTCTACCTCTTCCAACATCATGATGTGCGTGCTCAAAGGCACACACAGCGTTTGGGGTCCACTCATGCCAGCGCGCATCCTCTTAACCCCTTCTGGCCCAATGCTGAAGGGCCCGATGGCCCTTCTGCACTTTGCATTTCCACCTCACCGGCGCCGGGAGTTCCCGCCTTGCCTCGTTTTCGGTTTACGCCCCTCGGCGCCATCTTAAGAGTTCAGTTCCCCGGCGTGCGCATCACCCGCGCGCGCTCAAACCGTCTTCACGACACGAATGCCATCCTTGTCAATAACTTTCATAATATAATGCGGCGGCGCCACCACCAGGCGCTTCTTGACCTCCGCAATGCCCGCGTCCATCATGGCTACAGCCTCGTCCACCGTAAGCTCCGGATTCCACATCTTATCGAACAGCGACATCGTGAAGTATGAGCCTGCTCTCCATGGGGCGGTGCGCGCGCGAAGGAGACGTGTGTCAAGCAGTGTGAGGCCCCTCTTTATCGCTCCACACAGCCGGAGCCGTAATGGGTCTGCTGGCCAGTCGTGTGCTGTCCCATTACAAACTAAACGCACATCTGAGATCAGGCGCTACGGGACATCGCAGCGGATGGTCAAACCGGCACCATGACAGGCAAAGTTGGCGGGTGCTAATATGTGAGCTGTACCTAGTTAAAGTGTTACAGCGCTAATGGGGTAACACTTACCGTAGCCAGTGCCTCCCGTGTTTACTTTGCTTAATGTAGCCAGGTAGTCCAGCCAGTACAGTGCTGGCCCGGTTTCCTTGTCGTATCCCGCAAGCAGCAAGTTGCAGTGGTACGGTGACTGCGGTAAGCGGATGAGGGGTTGTGGAGGGATATTAAATCATGGAAGTGCAGCAGGTGGGTAGGTGGGGTTGGGTAATGGAGAAGCGCGGTGCAAGGTGATGGTCTTCCATAAATGTGAAACACCAAAAAATGCGTTTTGCACTGCTGCTTTATTGGCGGATATGTTCTTGGGTTTGTTTTTCCATAAGTGCCGCGTCCGGACACCCCTCGTCCCATATCAGCCCGGCACGGTTCCCTGTGCACGCAACGAGCTCCACGGTTCCCTAGTATCCCCTACAGTACCACGTAAACCCAGAGGATTCCCTATGTAACAATTCAGTTGCCATGCAGGAAAGCCTTCATGCCTGTCTACTGAGTATCAAAAGCTTGCAAAAACTCACGCTTCGTAGTGCTGTCGCGAGCTCCCCGCGCGTGTAGTTGGCGACAGATTTCGTATTGAGCTCCGTGCCGTTTCGAAGTGCGTAAAGTTTCACGTTTGCAATAATGTATTCACTAAAATTAACACGATCCCCTGCCTCGCCAGCTATACAAAAGACCTTGTGGTCGTCAATGGGCACGATCTTGTCCTCATCCTGCTTTATGCTGATAATGGACTGGGCAGCAGACGTGTCGCTACATACCATAACAAAGTCCTTGCCCTTGATGCCAACAAAGAAGTCCATGGCTGCGGGCTGCTTGCCCGCCCACGGCTAGGCGCTTTACGAGAGGAAAATGCCGCAAACGACCTCTACGCTTGGTTGTAAGCTACGAACACATTAAAGAACCCTATGCAATCGGCACGAAAAGAGCATAAGACTACCTACAAAGCTTGAGCAGGACTTAACGATGGTGCTGTACGACAGCTGCCAAAAACAATTATGACAGACGCTGCCAGCAATGATATAAGAAATTTTGTTACTTAGGCATTGCAGTTGAAAGCATGGAAATGAGGTAAACGCCGGTATCCTTGCTTGCCTGTTAAGAAAGGGTCAACCCTGCACGCCATGTCGTTTACTTGGCTCATGCAGCCTTTCCTGGTTTACTAACGATGTTACGATAACTCTGATAGAAGCATAGGCTATGGGCACCAAAGTTAAAAGCAAAATCCAACGTCTGCTTAAGCAGCTCGACCAAGATGACGAGAGCTTACCAGGCGACAACGCAGCCGCCCTGCGGGTCACCTCGACGGAGGAGGAGGCGGAAGACCTAGCTGCGCTGGCTTCTGCTCGACGGGCTGCGGCTGCCATCGAGCACACGCCCGGTCATCTCACCATCAGCAGCGTCGATGCTGCATCCGAGAGCACGGCCACGCTGAATGGAATCTCCACCGGCGACAGCCCGCCGGAAGATTCCGAGTCCCTCGCACCATCTCTATCCTCTCTCGACACCACGCCTCTGCCACAGCGCCCTAATCGAACGCCAAATGGCCATCGCAAATCCTACATGGCAGCAGGCCACGCGGAACGAGTTGCGGTGCTTGAACGCAAGGTCATGTCGCTCATGGCAGAGAACCGAAGCCTTCATACGACCTTCTCGGAGGCTATGGCTCGGAAGAATGCCGAGGTTTCGGAGCTGCAGGTGGGTTCTGCCGGCCGGCCTGCGACCTTTGCGCCGGTCAACGAGCGGAAAACTCAGCCGGACTGACAGCAAAACACATCAACGGATCGACACCCAGCAACTCTCCACAATACGAAGGCATTTTGGCAAGGCATGAATTGGGTTTTGTGCAGGAACTGTTTTGGCCCGTGATGCTAGATGACGCTGGGGCCGAGCTGCCAGAAAATGGAAGTCAGCACACATCTCCACTCCACAGCTGCCGGTCGGAATCCGGAAAGGAGGGGGAAAGACGCTGGAGAAGAGGGGAGCACGTGTGCCTCTGGGAGAAAGAGAGCAAAAGGGGGAGGAAAAGGGAGATGAGGCCGGACATGGGTGAGGGGCTAGTTCCCAATGGACTTGGGGGCCGGAACCCTGACACGTTCAAAACACAGACACGCACACAGACACACGTGTAAAATTGTTTAATTTCGTAATCCTGGTCGCGCTGTGGTGGGGGCTGCCCTACAGAAAGGGCAGTAGTAGCGACGGCGGCGGTACAATGATGGCCATTCCATGTTTCACTCCTCATTTCCTGCTTCCTTGTCTTCGCCCTCCCTCCCTCCGTCCCCCCCTCCTCACTCACTTCCTTCCCTCAATTCTGCTCCACCTCATCGGCAGCTGAAATTCTGTTCGTGCACATGTTTTCCCACCTCATGTTTTCCCACCTCAACCTCGACATCAGGCCCACCTAGCCGGCACCGTGAACGAGCTGTCTCTCCGGCATCAGGAGCTGGAGGCGGCTGCGCCACTGTTGCGAATGCGACTCGAGGACTTCCGCTCCCAGTTGTCAGACCTGCGAGTGTCTGAGGCGGTCTACCAGGAGCTCAAGAGGCTGCCCCGGGACTCAAGGACGGCGCTGGACGAGGCAAGATAGGCGGGAGGGGTCTTCGGAGTGTTTTGGGTGGAGAGCACCAGTCCAGGGGCTGTTTGGTGGGAAGCACCCGGGCGGAGTGCGGGTCCTTATTTGGGGGGGGTGATCAGGGTGTCAAAGTTTAGGGGTGCATGGGGGGGGCCGAGGGGAAGAGAAATTAGGGAAAAGCGAGGGTGGGAAAGGGAGGGTAGGGACCATGGGTGCCTCTTAGCCCTTAAGAGGGGCACTGCGCTCTTCCCAATTAGACAAATGGATGTTTCCTCACTAGTACGTATGTATTATGTATGTATATCCGTCGCACTCCCACAAGCACGCGTGTTCAAAGTATGCGGCAAGCCGCCCATGGTGGCGCAGCATGCGCACGCGCGCTCTGTTGTTTTCCTGATGTGGCTGAGGTTTGGTGGCGCAATGCTCCCGTCTCTCGCTTCGTCGCGGACACATACACACACACACGCACACACACACACGCGCACACACACACGCGCACGCACGTACGCGCGCGCGCACCCCTAAAGCGCAGGTCCGGATCGCGGTTCACGAGGTCCTCACGGAGTCCAAGTCGGAAGCGGCGACGCTGCACACCGCCCTGACAGCAGCTCGAGAAACGGCCGTGCGAGCTGAGGAGGCGGCGGCACGGGCGCGTGCAGAGGCGGCGCGCGCCGGCGCTGCTCTGGCGGAGCGAGATAGTGACCTGGCGCTGGTGACGGAGGGAATGCAGGCGCGCATCGACAGGCTGGCTTCGGAGCTGGAATCGGCCATGGTTTCGGCGCAACTGAGCGCTGCAAAGGGGGCCATGTACGACGAGCTGCGAGCCAAGCTGGATGCGACGGTGGCGGAAAATCAGCGTTTGGCGGTCGTGGAGGCGACGTTTAAGTGAGTGGGGGGTGGTTTCTTAGGGGGGGAGCGGGGTGGTGGATGTGAGTTGTTTAGGGGTAAGTGAGGGGTCGCCTGTTTTGATCGCCATCCTGTGTGGGGTTAAGTGGGAGGGGAGCTGTTAGTTGTTGACCTAAGTATGCACTGATGCTCTCCGGTGCTGTTGTTACTTTTTCGCTTCTTGCCGTTGCGCTACCACCAACACTGACGTTGCTTCTGTGTAGTACATGTCGTACAGTACGGCATTCACACCACCAATATAGATGCGCTAAAGCGTTCTGCCAGCATCACGAGAGGCCTTTACAGCGGCCGAACAGCTACGTGCCGCCATTGCTACAGCTACTAAATACTGCTACTGCCACTGCAGCTGTATTTTACTCTATTGTATTGTACTGTATTGTACTATATTGTACTATATTGTACTGTGTTGTACTATATTGTACTGTATTGTGTTATATTGTGTGCGTATGTCCCCCCGAACAGGAAGCTGGAGTCCCAGGCTGCTCAGGACCGGGCGACGGCCACGCAGAAGGAGCACACCTTTGAGATGCTCATGATGGATAAGGCCTACCTAACCAAGCAGGCAAGTACGGCCGCCCCGGAAACCCCCCCCTCCCCCCCTCTAGTGTTTTCTTCCCCTGTGTTTTGTTTCCCTTCGTGTCCTGTTCCGCGGGCGGCGCCCCTCGCCGCCTGGGCGGGGTGCGAAGCAGAAAAACCGCATCTATTACACACCCATTACATTACATTACATGCATCTATTTCTACTCAGCCTCCCCTGGACTTTTATGACTCCATCATAAACCCATTATTATGCCGTGGTTTTTATCCAGGGGGGAACACTGTGGGGGGGGGGAAAGAAAGGGAAGAAACATACTCGTTGGGGGGACACATTCGTTCGAGCTGGGTTTCGTATGTGTATGTGTGTGTTTCGGGCTCGTGGCACCTCCCGTGAAGCCCCCAACCCGTCTCCGTCCCGGTGTATGGTTTCGCAAGGGTCTGCCGTACGTGTACGTGGGTACTTTGCTGCGGCGGAGGAAGTAATCTCAACATACACGACGTGGACCGCGTCCAGACCGATGTGGTGGAAGGGTAACCCTAAGTTTACACGGTCCCAGGGAAATGCCGATGTGCGTCCTGTGGTTTGAGGGTCGTGGCTGCCGTAACAGCACTACCACCGGCCGTTAGGTTACGGTTACGGCATATTGCCGTACATGCCGTACACACATGCTGATGTCTGCAGGTGGACTTCCTGGCTGATCAACAGCGCAAGCTAGAAGCGGAACTGGAGTTGCGAGAGAAGAAGATCAACGAATTGTCGAGACAGAAGGTAAGAAAGCAGGAAGGGAGGGAGGAAGGAAGAAAGAAGCTCCTTGATGCAGCCCTGTCCTGTCCCGTTTATGCCTCCATCCGATCTCTATCCCGTCTTTGTTGCATTCTTTATCCTTGAAACACTGTCCTGCCTGACACGGGCTTGGACCCTCTGGGCCTTATACGACCCTGCTGTCGCAGAGTGAGATGTTTGAGAAGCTGATGACGGCGGAGACTCTCAAGGTGATGAGATCCAGGGGGGGACGGGAGTGAGAGCGAGAGTGGGGGCAGACAGGCGAGCCTGAGCTCCTATAAAGGGAAGGAAGAGGGAAAGGAAAGGGTGGTATCGTACCCTAAGACGTATGAAGCTCTGCAACCCATCACCCCCTCCATAGTAGGTGGGACTACCCGGTTACGTCTGTAACTTCCTTGTCGTATCAACTATCACTATAGAATTTCATCACACGGTCTATGTATGTATGTATGTATGTGCTTTCGCCGTCGCAAGTAACGACCACCACCACCACCACCACAACAACAACAACAACAACAACAGCAACAGCAACAGCAACACTAGCGACCCACACTACCTCACTGACCAACCGCTGCTCCGCCTCCTGTTATCACCATCACATCATCGCCGCAGGGGCGACATGAGGACGTCCGATTGCAAAAGGAGCTGGCGGCGCTGCAGGTGGGAGGTCTGGCGGGGTCCGGGAGGAAGCCTTGTATTTGTGTATGCGGTATTTGTGTATTGTGGTGGGTCTTGGGTCGACCCTGCGGTTGGCGTCTTGGAAGGACCGCGAAGGACTTAAACCCGCCATATAGCCCTTTTCGATAAGCACTAGTGGCCGGTTGTGTTGCCAGTTTTTTTTTTTGTGTGTGTGTGTGTGTGTGTGTGTGTGTGTGTGGCTTCATCAGGAATGGGAGGAGAAGGATGGGAAGGTGACAGAGAGATTGTTTCACAACCTGCCTACCTACCTAACTGCCTAACTGCCTGCCTGTTTACCTACCTGCCTATGAAGACCGCTGCCCCGGCCCCCGCCCTCCCCGTACCCCGGCAGTTCATTTTTTATTTCCTGGCATCTGATTCCCTCCCCGCCACCGCCCCCGGCCCCTCCACCGGAACCCCCACCGCCCGCAGGAGCGCACTCATGCCGACTTGGAGAAGATACGCGTGGAGACGGCGGGTGGGTGGTCAGCAGAGCAGGGTAGAGAGGGGCAGAGCGGAGCGGGGCCATCATCATCATCATCATCAGCAGCAGCAGCACCCAAAGCGTTCCTCTCCCTAAAGCATCATCCTCCCTAACCCACCCCAGAACACACACTACACACATACACCTGTACCACCATCGGCATTTCCCTCGCGGCGGCTCAGATCATTAAAACACACACAGAGGCATCCCTAGCCCCGTCGGTGAGCTGGTAGCTGCTAGTCTGGTCCCTGCGCCCACCTGCCGCGTGCGCTGGAGAGGTGGTTAGCGTGGGTTTCTTGAGCCCCGCCCACTCCCCCTCAACGGAGGACCGGGTGAGCTTTCTAGCAGGGCCTCGTGTCGTAGTAGGGAGGGGTAGGGTCGGTCTGGGGTTTCAGGGTTTCCTCTTTCTTAGTGAACCCGCACCCCGAGAGCCGGATCAGGCCGGGGCTGGAGAGGAGTCTCCTTGCTTCATGTCTCAGGCTCAATGCGCTAACTCACCGCATGGGGGAGCCTTGACTCGTGAGAGCATGCGCGCGTGCGACGCCTTCCCCGACCCCCCGGAAGAGGTGGATTGGAACCCGCGTACTTGCGGCTCTCGGCTGCTAAGGGGGGGTGCATAGGCCCCTCTAGCGCCCCTCTGCCGCCCGTGGGAGAGCGCTTAGTCAGGCGATCTTTCCATTGGGGCTGGGCAGCAGCCCCTCTGTGGCCAGTGTCAGGCCCGGTCAGATATTTATAACCTTCGCGCACGTACACACATACAAACTCACATACACAGAGGCGTACGAGCGGGAGGCCCGGTTGCTTCGTGAGCTGCGGGACTCCGCCCAGGAGGAGGCTCTCCGCGCCAAGGCGGCCCTGGCGGAGTTGCAGGCGCTGCACGAGAAGACGGGGCTAGCCCATGCCGAGGTGGCCAGGCGACTGGAGCAGCAGGTGAGGTGAAGAATGGGGCGAGATGGGTGAGTACCGAACTGAGGAGGGGTGGGTTGAGGGGTTACGGGGTGGGTTGAGTTGAGTTGGATTTAGTTGGTGTAGAGGCATCAAAACACACAACACGTCGTGGCATCGTACCACGTGTCACTCGAGCCCCACTTGCTGATGATGCTTCATTGTCCAGTTGATGGTGGGTCCTACCTGCCTGACTGTTGTCGTTGCTGCTGCTGTTGTTGTTGTTGTTGTTGTTCAGGTGGTGGCGCTGCAAACGGAGCTGAAGCAGAAGACGTTTGAGCTCAGCCACTTTAAGGTAGGTACGCATACGAGTGATGGGTGTAGTGGTAGCAGAGCTACGTGCGGTCGAGCCATGCGTGCGACCCCTTTCTGCATCCCTCGCCCTCGCCCTCGCTCTCTCCCCCTCTCTCCCCCTCTCACACGCTCACTCCCTCGCCGTCGCCCTCTCCTCTCGAAGGGGAAAACAAAGGGGATGGGTAACAAAAAGGGTTCTCATCATTTTCATCAATTTAAAAATTAAGATAATAATGATGAACAAGTAGGGACTTTGGTTTTCCATCCCCTTTAGTTCATCCCCTAAAGATGACCCTTTCCCTCTCCTTGGCCCTAATGATGGTATGTCTATTTTCATCACGCAGGTAGTAGTGGCGGAGAAGGAGCAGCTGCTGGGACGGACCAACATGCAGGTGTGTGTGTGTGTATGTATGTGGTGGGGCCCCCTTCAGGATGCATGGGTAGAGGACAATGCGTGCTGAGGAGTCTTTTCATCCACCTCTTCTTCATCCTCACTCAGTTTCTCATCCAAAGTTTTCCACTCTTTCCTTTCCTCTCGTTTCCTTTGCTCCGCATCCCTCAGCTCTGTGCACTCTTGTCGCCCCCCGTAAGTGCCCCTCTCTACCTCTCGCTTGCCTGTTCCCTAACGCATCTGCATCCCGCATCACGATCATCGCCATCACGGTCATCGCCATTTCAGAACGAGCTGCTTCAAGACAAATTGAGTGTGCTGATGGACAAATACCGTGCACTGGAGGTATGCGGGCTTTGCGTGTATATGTATTTTTGTGTGCGTGCGAAAATGCGTGTCTGTTTTTTGTGTGGGATGTATCGATAAAAGGGGGCCCCCAACAGTCCTCTGTTCGAATCCCCTTGGGGTCTGGTCGTCGGGGCCCAGCCAGCAGCCAGCAGTCTCGGTGGAAACGCGCGGAGTGGCCCAACATCCCCCCAGGAGTTCACTACAACGGTTTGGCTGTATGTAGCGGCCTTGTCCACGTGAGGGAGGAAAAGCGGGAAGATTATTTATCCAGTACACTGCTTCTGCAGGTGGTGAATTGGTAAACCTCCGGAGCCGCCTCATTTTTCCAGAGAAAAGCTTAATCCAAAAAAGCTTTATCTAAAAAAGATGTGGGTTTGCCTCCATAGCCCAGAGCTTACCTTGCGTTCCATGGTATCCGGATTCATTTTCTTCGATCCGGATTCGAACGCCTATTCGAAATCTGTATCATTTTTGGATCTAGGATTTAAAAAATTCGGTCTTTTGGGGTGTGGCAGGTTGATCACAACACGCAAATGAACAAGGCGCTGGCGGCAGCAGCTGAGGCGGTCGCGTCAGGCGGCGGAGGGGGAGGGGGAGGGGGAGGCGGAGCCGCGGTGGAGGGGGTACCTCGCGAGGGTGCCATCACCGCCGTCACCACACTATGTGCCGCAGCCCCCGCTGCCAAGTTGCAGGCAAGTTGCACGCAAACAAGCGTTTATAAATCGATCATCCGCTGCGACTTTGAACGCACAATGACATATGCTCGTATCGTATGTTCGTATTCATTTCCACCCTGTGATTGCTACCCCCGTTGCTGTTGCATAGCTCTCGTGCGAGTATGAAATAAACACGTTGATTCTCACTTTGCTAGCCCGCTGCCTGACGTACCGCTTTTATCTCGCTTTTAAAAGAAGCCCTCCGGCATGTCCGTCCATCATCCGGACCGCCTCCTCCACCGCACCCCCCTAGGGGTGAAGACCGAGGCCTTTCAATCTTCAGCGCCTCTCCATTTCCTGCACTGACCGCACTGCCTCCCTCCGCTGCACCCGGCTCCCTCTCGCCAACGCCACATGCCGCCGCAGGTCGACCTGGCCCTGCTCAGGCAGGTGCGATCGGAAGAGGGAAAAAGAGCTTGTTGTGTGTTCAAATGAACTGGGATTTTTTGTGCGTGTGCGTATATGTGTTGATGTGCGTGAGAGTGTGTGTGTATGTGTGCTTAAGTGAACTGAGCCACAAGATGTTAAGGTTGAAAAAGTCGCATGCAACAAGTTCACCGAAACAGCAGTTGTATGTGTGTATATGTGCGTGTGTGTGCTTGTAAGTGCGTCCAAGCCGCACCAAGCGAGGGTAAGAGCGTCGTCGTGTCGCATTTTCTCAAATAAGGCGTCGTTGCGCACTTCACAACGAATAACGAACAAAAAGGCACACACACACAAACAAACCAAATCCCGAGACATGAAGATATGGAGCCGCAACATGGCGCACTTCAACTTCTTTCTGGCTGCTGGCTGTTCGCAGGAGCGCGATGCGCTATCCCGGGAGGTCCAGCACATGAGTGGTCGACTGGCGGCGGCACACGACATGCTGAGACTCGCCTCGCAGCCACATGCCTTCCTGCTGGAGGTGAGGGGAGGGAGAGGGTGGGGTAGGGAGGGAGAGGTGAGATAGGGAGGGGAGGGGAGAGAGAGGGGTAGGGAGGGAGAGGTGAGATAGGGAGGGGAGGGAGGGAGAGGGGGAGGGAGGGGGAGGTGAGTGGAGGGAGAGAGAGGTGAGGGGAGGGAGAGAGAGGGGAGGGGTGGGAGGGAGAGGGGAGGGGAGATAGGGAGGGGAGGGGAGGGGAGATAGGGAGGGGAGGGAGGGGGAGAGGGAGGGGTTGGGGAGGTGTCTCTGTTGTATACAGTACGAGTGTTGCGCCTTATCATTACCATCATCATCACCATGATCATCACCACCATTTCCGTGGTGTACCTTTTAGCTAGCGACTACAAGCGCGTGCTCGTCCGTGGTTCTTCGGTAATGTTTACCCAACCCAACTCATCACATGTACGACGTCTATACGTGTACTCGCGCACGCTCACTCCAGGAGTTGGAGGCGGTCAAGCTCCGAGCGACACAAGCGGAAAACAGGGTGGCGGCTCTGCAGGTGGGCATGTGGGGCTTATGTGAGCGTGATGGGGGGCGTGGTGAGGGGCGTGGTGTGTGCGGGGTTTGTGTCTCGAAGACGGAGGAGGGGGAACATTGCTAATGTCAAAATGCACAGCCGTGTATAGTTCTTATTTAGGATTGTTGAAGTATCGTGTAAGATTCCGGTGATGTGTATGTCTGTGTGTGTGTCTGTTTGTGTGTGTGTGTGTCTGTTTGTGTGTGTGTGTCTGTTTGTGTGTGTGTGTGTGTGTGCTTCAGGTTCCATTGGGCTGCGAAATGCTAGGTGGGATGGGATGCGAGTGTGGTCCACTACTTGCCCAGGGTGCTGTTGACTCAATGGCCGTGGAGAAAAAGTACATCACGATGGAAAACAGACAGGTAAACATACAAACAAACATGGGCGTATAGATGTACCTATGGCTCAAAACTGGGGTAGATATATTAGATTACATGCGGCTGCCGCTGCTGCTAATTCTGTCACTGTCATCAGTGCCGCTGGGTGGTGCGTCTGCTGTTGCCGCTGTTTGTTTTTCTACTCTGCCATCCTTGGCATGCAGGCAACGTGAGACATGGACGAATAGCACTGCGTTGAAGTTTTCCTTGCTCTGCTGCTACCGCTGCTGCAAAAACTGTTACTGCCTGTGCCCCGCTGCTACTGCCGCTGCTACTGCCGCTGCAGGTGGCCCTCACCGCTCGTAGCAACGAGGTGGAAGCGCTAACGGTGCGCCAGGGTGGAGGGCGAGGCGGAGCGGGGCACGAGATCTTGCGTGCGGTGTGTGTGTGTGTGTATTGCAAAGCGGTGTGTGCACACACACACACACATGCACACACACATCTCTGAAGCGAAGCGCACGTCGATGAATCTGGTAGTCACGAGCCTTGGTGGATGCCTTACTACACCGCATAGTGCCGTACCACGACACCATGCTACGTATGGCGGCGGATGTGAGGAAAGGAAACCCCATCGCCCTTATCTCCCGTCTGTAGACCTCCTGATCCGTGAGGAAACCGAAGTCCCTCAACTCCGTACTCCTCCCTCAGGCCGAGCGCGACGCGCTGCGATCAGACCTGGACGGTCTTCTTGCCCAACGTCAGGCACTGGAGGGTATGAAGGCGGTGGTCGTCAAGGCGCTGGCGGGAGGTCTGCCGCAGGTACGGCATCAGCGTACGGCACGCAGTACACATACGGCTAACGAAGCACATGAGGCATCCGCCCACGCTATGATGCTATGCCTTAGGGTTTGCATCATCTATCCATGCGTGTATGGCCATCTATCGCATTTTTCATACAGCCTAGTTATCGCATCATGTGCCAGGCTGTCTGTTACATATGATTACCATAGATCGACATCATCCATGAGTTCTCATGTTTCAGTGTCTCCAGATCTCCGTTCTCTTTGCAAATTGATGCCGGCAGGTGCAGCAAGCGGCGGCCATGGCGGCGGCGGCGCGCAAGCCCGCGCCGGGGTTTAGCAGTACGACAATCATCGGGGAGGGTGGGTTGGCGCCGGCGCCGCCGTTGCCGACACCCATGGAGCTTTCGCGGCGTCAATCGCAGCAGCAGCAGCAGCAGCAGCGACGATAGGCATCGCCGCCTGAAGCTGAACATTCAGATAAACATCCGAATTCCTGAGGGGTCACCCCGCACATATGTGTGCGTGTGTGTTTACACCACATATGATCCGTAAACTTAAATGCACACAACTGCGGATTGGTTTTTTAGGGTCTTTGCGATTTTAGAAGTAATCAAGTAAAAACCCGGATATGCAGTGAAGGGGTATGCGAGGGGTGATAAGGCCCTTCAGGACTCCGCAAGCCTTCCAAACGCCCAAAAGAGAGGTCTACACGTGAGCCAGGGCCACGTGTTTCGTGAGTGCCGTGTCGTGTTGTGTTATTTTAAGGGGAACACCGCTCTGCCAGACCCGCTGGTGACACACGATAACGGAATGCATGAAGCTCTTGAAGCAAGGGAACCGATAGCGAACACCAGGTCCGCATGTGCTGTATGTTGTCGTACAACGCGGGGTGCAAAGTAGCCGACAACCTGCTGTAGCACCGGTGAATGGTGAATGTCTCTGAAAGTGAATATAGGATAGACTTTACAAGTTGCGGAAGGGAGCCATATGAAGGTTTCAGTACTCCATTTGCAGTCCTTCACAACCCAAAGCTTTGCTTTGAAAAGTTTAAATTTTCGGCGCGCTCGTCACAGGAGCGCAGATGAGCACTTTCGCAGCACTCATCGGAGAGGTTTCCGTCAATGGCGATTTTTGTACAACAGCGTACAACGTTGCGCAAAAGCAAGCAAGCAAGATGCAGTAAGCTACACGGATAGAGCAGCCAAAAGCACGCACTACGCCGGAGCAGCAGTACCTGTTCGCCGCACTTCCAAACTTCAGAAGTGCGCACACGTAAAAGTGCGGGAGATAATCTGCAGCTTGGAAGAAAATTTCCAACACTTGTGTGCGCGTGCGTCGTCATCACCATTATTATCGACACCGCGAAACTGCTGGCCGCTTGTTCAAGGTATTAATATGCACGTGCTTCAGCTGGGGGCTTACATCATAGCCGTCATGCCCTGCAACAATACTGCTCCCGTGTTGCTCTTATTGCCGACCCACCCCCTTTATCAAGATAATCAACCAGATATGCGGGACCCTCCACGCAGCTTCAAGTGAACCCAACAAATACCAGGACCACATTCCACAGCCATCGAAATCATGTCCATGTCTAGATTTTATAGCGACCTCCAGGAGGACTTTCATTTTCATACTTGGATAACATAGCCTTCAAAAAGGAACAAGAATTTATTGCAAACTGCTGTAAGCAAAGTGAGGAGCAAATGCTTCCTCTTGCAACTCCCAGCAGAGAATTAGGGCAATTGATGCACAACATGCACGTACGAAAAAAATCCAAAAGTAAACAGGTAAACTGTCTTTCAATGTCTGGTTTCATTTCGCCAGAATGCCTTAAACCCATCGAATATCGAAAGTTGGAATACATGTTAATTCCGACGCAAGGAGCACAGCTTTAATGGAAAACAAGTGGCATGCTTCGCACTTTTACTTGCTTGCATTTCAATCATTTACTTGCGGCAAGAGCACGGCAATACTTGGTGCTTCAAGAATAAGTGCACATTTCAAAAAACAAAACATCCCTCACCCGATTACCCCAGGATGTTGCAACCCATGGAGGTACTCCCGGGTTCCGGGAGAACCGTCGCTGCGACCTAGCCAAAATAGGCTCGTGTTTGTCGATTTCCCGTCGGCGACCACGGAACCACGTGGCTCACCCACCCCCACTACACTCCAAACCGTGTGTCTCCCTCTTACTCATTCTCCTTCCCACCATCGCCTCCACAGAGCAACAAAAGCAACAATCATAGAGGCGCGTAAAGGCGACAGCACATTGCGTACTGCTGCACTCGCCTGCAGGTAGGGCGTGGCTTGACATGCTTCATTCAGTGCCGTCCATATTTCATTTCGTAGCTAGCAGCGCTTGCAAAAGACTTGTCATGACGAGAACCATGTAGTACTCTCTGCTTCAGAAATTGAATTGACGGTGTAAGGGGCTTAGGGTTGGAGGCCAGCTCGTCAGCTCATGGCCAGATCGCGTGGGAGAGCGGAGGCGCATAAGTGACAGTTGATTTGAGAAAGGGCTCCGAATCCAGATGCGTGTCACATCCACTGCGTTAACCTTAATAGACCTCCACTGGCAGCTCTCTGGCTTCAACCGATCCATTGTTAGGCATGCAACGAGGGCCTCATGGGCAAGAGCGCAACAAATGCGCAACAAATGCGCAACAGTTCTCTGACTGCGCTCAACCGTTACTGGTAGGAGCTGGATTTACAAGCTGCTTTACTTGTTTATACTTCGCCATAAGCGCTGTGTCCTCTGAACTGGAATCGTTGGATGATACCTCTTGTGCGTACCAGCGTTCAGAGTTCCAAAGCAAGGCTATTGTAACTACGTAGGCAACTACTCCGATAGAGACAAGCCATGCTTTGTCCCAGAAGGCAACGTCCAAGTCCATGGGTTCGGCAGAGGTGAATTCCACTAGGTCGCTTGTCTTACAAGCACTGTTTGGATAACCTAAGGCTTAAGCAGACGCATGATACTTTATAACAGCAAACGTGGAATTGTGGAAGGATGCAACAATGGGAAGCACAAAAATCTAACATCAGCAGGCATAACCCAGAAGTACAAGTTTTGTACTTTGCGTTGTACACTTTTCCCGTTCGTTTTCCACTTGTCAAAGGAAAGGCACTATCGAGACGATTTGAAAAGGAGAACCTGCTCAGCGCGGACAGTGATATGGTGTAGCTGAGCGAACGACGTTTAGTGATGCCGTTTTGGCAGAGCCACAGCAGGCCCTTGGTGTTGCGCAGGCAGCATTTGTTTGCTTATAATGCTATCCACTATAGTAGCTTCAGCATTTTTATTTGGCTGTTTCTTACGTCCAAAAACGGTATCGCTGTCACAGGTGCAGGTTACGAATCGAAAGCTTTGCTCAACTTAGAAGTTCATTTGCCCGCCCATGGGAGATATTTGTCCGTTACCACCCGATTTTGGACATCCATGCGATGGCTCCAAGGCTCTCTCAACATGATTTCATGGAACGAGTATCCTTCGCAAGGCCAGGTGCTGCACGCGTCTGTGCCGCGTCAAACACTTAAACTCTTGAGGTTTCATTATTTTGCGCGACTTGGTAAGCGGCATTGTGTGCTCTTGTTAGAGAGCTGTTGCATTATCATCTCAGCCGCGCCCGCACGTACATTCATGCACAGGCCATGGCATGGCGTATTCCGTACCTACCGCTGTGACGCCCTCAAGTCCAGTCTCGGCGCGGCGCCGCCAGCACCGTTTCCCTTGAAACGACCCCTAACCGCTTCCACCACTACCATTATCAAAAATATTCCACCAGCACAACCACCAGCCTAGAAGTCCAAAACCACGATGCCCTAAGTAATCCACAAAACGACCTGCTTTTGATTGCTGGGTGCATTACTTTATAGGAGTTCAAATCACTGTATTGGCGTCGAAAACTGATACTATCTTCATCTCTTCCCCTTTAGTTGCCCTTTATGGGATGAACGAGATGGGAACCTGGGGAATTATGGCTAACTCTTCGAGTGTATACACATACGTCTTGTGCGTACATTATGTATGGATGGAGTGAGTTGAGCCGCCAAAGAGGAGTTACGGCAGGCGAGTTTTGGCAGGGCGAAAGAAGAAACAGCGGAGGCCTGATTAAAAGGCGTTGTTTGGACGGAAGAATGTGGCTGCCCTTGCTGGCTTCGGTGATCTCATTAAATCATCCCGCAAGCAGTCCTTGCGTGACGTTGGTTTGAATTTTTACTTGATTTGGATTTGGAAAGCTGTGAATATGTTCATGATGCGGTAATGAACAAGACTCATCGAAACAAGCCGCCATTCCCAGAAACAGTCTGCCTTCCTGCCTCGACGAGCACACATACGCAAGGGGGTATCATGTCTCTTGCAATACCTTGTTGCTCGGGTCGAGGATGAGAGGTAAAAGAGGTAGACATCGGCTGGGTGAGGTAGATACTTCATTTGACAATTGGCGCCTAACGGCCGAAACTGAATACTTGCTGCAAAGGTTCAACCACCAACGAACGCAACAGTTTTTATACTCTGAAACGAACATGACCCAGAACAGTCCTAGAACATGGCAATACGACCATACTCGCCAAAAAGCCGCTCTGTCAGCAGCTACAAACAGATGCCGCCGACAGTCTGAGGAGACTGTTCTCATACGCATACCGCCATCGACTGCACCGCCACCATGGACCAGCCATCAACTGTTTTTATTTGTCAAAACTATAAAAATAGTTGTCATTCTCCGAGCTCGCTCTCCTCTTCAGACCTCTTCTTTCCCTCAGACAGCCTTGCTGCACTCCAAGCCATGCGCTCCACTCCTCTCCACTCCACTCCCCTCCTCTCCCACCTCTAGGCAGCTGCCATTCTTCGTGCCTCCAGTCCCACACCACGCACTCCACCTCTCGCAACAGGGCTCCTCCCCATCTCCTCCACCAACTCCGCTCCCAAATTTCACGTTCAAGCAAAATTCTCACTAGCAGGTTGAGTGCATGTTCAGCAGTAATAGTCGTAGTAGCAGTATGAGTTAAGCAATTTATTTCTCTACATCGCTCTTTCGCTCTGTGCCCGGCGTTTACGGGCGCTCCCCGTGCACTGGTACTGTGACACTTGCAACTCTTCCTGTAACTTTACCGCTCTACGTCTCAAGCCATCCCTAGCTACGCTCACTCTGCCTTCACGCGACATCCACATGTGGGCCAGCAAACAATGGCCCATCAGATGATGCAATTCCCAACATGGAGCAAGTAGTAACACCCACGCCGCCTCAAAACTGATGCCACACGGGCGACAACGGCAACGGAGCCGCAGGAGCCGCAGCGGCGCCGCAACTGCAGGACGGAACTTCCAACCAACAGACTCATTTTTAACTTCTCACACTATCATTTACAAACCGTAACCAACCGACCAATACCGTCCAATCCATTCGTACAGAGAGCTGTACGCCATATATCCTTCATCGCTGATTTCCGACATCGCCGTCTGATGCCGTCGATGCGGTGTCGCGCGGACCGCCTCCTGCTAATGTCGCCACCGTCGCAGCTGGCGCAGCAGCGGTAGCGGCGGCAGCTGCGCCGCCGCCGCCCTCAACCTTGCCTGTGAACGCGTTGATCCTAGGTGACAAGGAGAGATTCCGGTAGTACCCGTTTGGTGTGCGGTCCGCGTCGGAATGCCAGGTACGGATTAGGTCCCGCAGTACGGCATCTGGAAGGGCCTCCCGCGAGCGGTACCGGGGCAGCTCCCGACGGAATGCCGCCGCCACATCGCTTTCATGACAACGGCCCGAACGAACGAGTCGTGACTCGGCAAAGGTGACTGGAACCGAGATCCAGAGGGATCATGAGGCAGGGGAGGGGGGATGAGGCTCGGAGGACGAAAAAAACGTGGCATGGCAAGTTTAAGAGGTACCACCCGAGAAATAAAGCTCAATAACTCTCACGACCATGTGTGGAAAGTAATTTTGGAGCCGCGTGGCCGTAATCATTTGACAGAAAGATGGGTTGTTTTCTGACTATCAGACAGATTAACAGGCAGTTAGATAGATAGACAGATAGACAGGCAGACAAACAGATTAACAGTTTGGTAGTTCGACAGGCACATAGGACCTCACTAGAGTACCTTATCCCGCACCCCGTGTAGAGTCAAACAACGCATCGTGCCCCCCCCCGGGGGGGTGCAGTAATGCGAAGGAAAAGTCACCCACCGAAATCTCGCCATTGTTGATCTAGCTGCCGCGCCTCTTCCAGGCTGAGTCTCCTGGGTCGCCCCACCTCGTATACCCCAGCTGCCAGACACGCCCCAGTTCCGGTGCTAAGCGCCCAGATGCTGTCACCTAGGCCTGCCTGCGGGCCCCGAAACGTCAGGTTGCGAGATTTGGGTTGGTTAGTTGGTTAGTTGGTTGGTTAGTCAGTTATGCTGAGGCTTGTAGATGGTTGTGTCAGTGCTAGGAGAGTTGGTGACTGTAGCAGCACTTTTGTGGTGGCCATGGCAACGCTGAAGTTCGTGGGGCCATCATTTTATTGTACTTTCTGTACCGTACACAGCCTTGCCGTACCTGAAGGCTGAAGCTGATCGCCAGTCCTGCCGCCAGGCAGATCCCCGCAGCAATGTACGACAGCCAGGCGGGGGCCTCGTTGACATCAATGATGCTGATGGGAAAGAAAGGGGTTTGGCACGAAACACACGCACACGGTTTGTGTTCGCGGGCACATACTAGAAAGGGCTAAATGGTGATCAATGTGACATACGCACAGCTGCACGGGACAAAACAATCTCCGCATTGTCGTACTTTGAGCCCCATGACTCCGTTGCCGTGCCCGTACGGCAGCCCTTCACCTGCACTCAGCTGTAGCTAAAACACCGCCTCGGCCCCAAAACCACACGGTTCCCGCTCCTCCATCGGGCCTAGCTGACCGCATCGTCGTACACTCACTTCAAGCCCAGTGGACCCCGCGCGAGCTGCATGATGATCCAGTCGCTGGGTCGCTCCGTCTCAATCTTGCCCAAGAACAGCAGGAGCTGCTGCAGCGGCGATGCGAAGAACAGCGACAACCCCCAAAGCGTCCCCGCCACAACGTCCGCTGCGCAGAAAACCGTGTATGCGTGCGTGCGTGCGCATGTACGGATGTACGGGCGGAGAGGAAGGTCGAACGAGAACCGCGATCTTAGAGTGCAAGGAGAAATTCAAATGAGGAGTTTAGGAAATAGCAGGAAGGAACATCGGCCAGTTTGATTTTTTAAAAACCCAAATCGAAAAACAAGGCAAGTGCAAACCAAGTTTCCATGTCGGCAGGTGGTGTGCAAAGGCAGCACCGGAGCCGATGGCATGACGATATCGCCCCATTTCACAGACCCCAGCTACAGCCCAAACCCGGATTCCCGTTGCCCACCCGTACCGAGGCCCACCTGGGCCGAACCCGCCCGCTCCTGACAACGAGTCCGCCGAGTAGATCAACTCCTGATGCCACATAATGGGACAGGCAGGTGTTGGAGAGTGACGGATACTCCGTATGAATACGTGTGGAATGTGAGAGCAGCAATGGGACCCGAGCGGGTTTCGCGGCGATTTGCTGATCCTAACATCGCTTGATAACAGCAGGTAGGCAGGTAGGTAGGCGTGAGGGTGGGGGTGTGGGTGCTTGCGAAATCGTCACAGTGATGCAAAGGACCTCGGATTAAATACTGACATGACGATGATGATTTCCGTTTCTTAAAATATTCGTAATGATGATAATGCATTAGTTTTGCTTGATTTGGTGGGCAGGGCAGCGAGGGGGGGTGGAACACTTGACCTGCTGATGCTAGAGTCAGCGACAAAGGAGCGCGTAATCGGGCACTAACTTGAGTGCTTACGACCGTCGCCGTGGTGCAGAACCTAAAGTCTGAGCACGGCGAAGCGACCCGGAGACAGGAGCAGTTCATTTACTTACTGACTGACCTCTATTTGATCGGCGACGAGGGGGTAGCCAACGGTGGCGGCTCCGGCGAGAACCAGGGCTACGCGTTGTGCCGTTGAACGTAGTCCATACAGTGCAAGGAAGTGGAGAGCAGCAAAGTAACGTTGCGCGATGTGCACCAGTAGGGCGTTGCATAGCGAGGGTGAGGATAGTGCGGAGGGCAGGGCAGCGCGGCGTGGTATTCAAAGTTGTCAGTTCCCTGTGTTGACCGGCCACCTTACTGAATCGCGCACGCCGACGAGTGTATTCAGAGTATGTTGAATTAAATGCGTGCATATACTTAATAAACATTCAGCTTTCTACAAAGCGAGTAGGTTACCGCGCGTTCTCACCTCCCATCGCCAAGAGGATGGTTGTGTCGCCGCTGCTCACAGGTGCGTCCTTGGGATCTTGCTGGCTACTGCATGCGATGCCTCCTCGTGCTGGGCCACAGCATTGATATGGGTAGGGCTTGCAGGATGACCCAGAAAACCCTTGGCGCAACCGGTGGCCCATCATTGCGCGACTGGACGCAGGCCTGATTTCACCGCCAGCGATGCCCCTGGATCTCCTTGTACAAGAGATTAAGCAATTTTGATACATTGATGCCATGGGCTGCCAAGGACTTCGGTGCGGACTAAGAAGTTTTCAGTGTCCAACGGTCTTCCCCAGTAAAAATCTTACGACGTATATGTATACCGATAGATAACGTTCCAAATGCACTTTGGCAAACAGCAACACAGGAACTGGCTTACTGAATAATTGTGTGGTCCGTAGTTACTGCGCCAAGGAAGATTGGTACTAGACTAAAGTCTAAGGTGCAAACAGAAACAGTGGTTGGCAATGACATTTACTTTTGTCTTCTCGCGCGCTCTATCCTTCAGCAGGATAACCAAACCGGTCGGTAACTGTTCGCTTCGGTAGCTGGCCGGTAGGATAACCGACATAACGAACTAACGACCCAGTAACTGGGGGGTCAGTGACCCCGGATCACCGACCGATAAGGTTACCGGTCGGTAAGGTAAACCGGTATGTTTGAAGCATCTGGAACCATGGCGGGAGGCTACCTGGACGAAGACTTTGTATCAACTTATTTCCATTCTTCTAAGCTTTTACGTCTGAGCAAAGGCCCGCAATCTTGACGTGTGTATAGACAGGCGGGCAAAGACTCGGCCGCTTTCCTACAGCGAACGGCGTGCGACCGTGCGATCATCAAGCCCGGGAAAAGGTATTCCCCTTCACCCTAAACGGTCATATTGCGGCCGGGGGACATACGGGCGCGCGCAGAGTGTGGGCAAACCCCGCATACGAACTTCAACCACCAAAGACAAGGACCGACACAATTAAGGAAGGCTAAAAAACTGCCGAAGACACTGCCGGGGGTGTCCGCCGGGGAATCCAGGGCCGTAGCGGTGGGGACGTGACTTGGACGGTGTGCCTTGGAGCCTGCAGCCACCGCGGTAAACCCCCTATGGAAAGGGCCCATAGAAACTAGGGCCGCATTTACAGCACCACATGCACACGCCATCCCCCCTCCCAAGCATCCATCCACTACGAACCCCTGAATGTGTGCGACTTCTTCTTCCTCCTAATCCTCCCCCACGGCCTCCGCCTCCCCTCGGCATCCCGACAAACAGCGTGTATGCACATGCATTCAGGATCATGCCCCATCACACTCTGCATGCAGCCTCGTAATCTACGCCTGGATCCGGAACTTTGGAGGAATTCTATCCATCCGTACGGTACGCGTCCGTCCGTACACAGCCCTCATTTGCCACCCCCCTGCACATGCACATTTTAACTAGGCACGCACGAGGGAGAACCCTTGGGGCCCCGTACTTCCCCCCTCTCCTCGCCGTACACTGTACAGCACCTCAGCTTCGACCACCGTGCCCGTCCTCATCCTCGCCGTCATCATGTACGGCAACCGGTACGAGTACGCCAGCGCGCTTATACACATTATCCAACGTCTCCCCGAGGAACTCCTCAAAGCCGCCGCCGGCGTCAGCGCCGCCGCCTCCACCGCCTCCACCACCTCCCGGCGCCGCCTTCTTTCGGTTGTTGAACGTCGTCCAAGCTGCACCGAGCAACAACCGCTCAAACTGATCGTAGTCGTACTCCAGCGGTTGCGGATGCAGTACAAAGGTCTCTGGATCTGTACTGCGCTGCTTGGCGAATACGGCAATCAGCGCCAGCTCCTGGGGGTAGGTGACGCAGTGGATGGATCCGGGCGACGGATTTTAATTAAGTGCCATATGACACCCGCGAGACGCAAGCAACACACATACATGCATCGATGCAATACGAGACACGCATCGGAGGGTGCCACACACGGGCACGCGGACACGCACACACGAACCGTAACATCCCACGAACCCCACCCATCCAAAAACCCAAACCATCACTCAACTCCACTCAGCTGCCTCTTCTCCCCTCCGGTTACCGCACAACGCGTCCGGTGTGTTTCACACGGACACGCACACACGCCCCACATTCCCCCCAAACCCCCTTTCCAGTTCTTCCCCACCTGCAGGTTGAACTCCCTTCCCAGCATGCCCCACTTCGCTAGGTGGTTACACAGCCAGCGCAAGTCAACCCGCACGGGGGCCCCCCGGGTCCTCTTCAGCTGGCAGGTGTCTAGAGTCTGTTCCGTCAGTCTGCGTGTGTGTGGGGGGGGGGGGGGAGTAAGGGAAAGTAAGGGGAAGGGAGGGGAAGGGAGGGGAAAGACGAACCACACACGAAGGGAGGGGAAGGGAACGGCGGAGGCAGAAAGTTCAAGAAGGACAAGATTAGGATTAGGATCGAGCGCGGAGCACGGCAGGCTTGAGGGAGAATGAAGAAAAATGGGGAGCCTTGAAACCCACACTCGCACCCCACCCGTACGCCCATCCGGAACGCAATCCCCCTTAACCCCCTTTTACCCCATCCCCTGGTGTTTTCACCCGCATAACACCCATATCTGTGTGTGTGTGTGTCTTTTACCATTTACGCTGTCAGATGCCGCTCACATCGCCCCATTTCCTATCAAACAAGAAGCACCAACACAGACACACGCACGCGCGCGCGTGTGCTACCAGTACCCACTTGCGTCCCTTCCTCAGCAGCAACATGGCGTTGGAGTTGTTGAGTGCGGGTGAGAAGCGCTCCAGTCGCCGTTGCAACTCCGGAAAGGTGGACACCGCGAAGCACTCCCGCAACAACGCAGTGACCTGGAGGCCGGGCAGCAGTAGCAGCAGTAGCAGCGGTAGCAGCAGTAGCAGCAGTAGCAGCGGTAGCGATGAGAGGACAAACGATGAAGTGTTTGGTTGACGGTTAAAGCGGTTGACAGGCTTGCGAGCGGAAAACAGCGCGGCTAGGTGAAGAAAAGGCAGTGACTGAGACAGAACGACAAACGGATAGGCAAGCAGACAGACAGACAAACAGACGGATCCGGGCGTAACCCCGGCTCCATCCCAGCCCCACCTTGACGCTGAGGTGGTTGTACGCCGCCTGACTAGGGTTTTCCGCGGCGTAGCGGTGCGCCGCCAGGTGCACCAGCGCCAACATGAAGTCCAGCAAGTCGAATGTGGACACACCTGACTTGGCCTCAACCTGGGGGGTCGGAGGGGGTTGGAGGGGGAGGGGGGTTGGAGGGGGAGGGGGGTTGGAGGGGGTTGGAGGGGGAGGCG